AGGTGAGACAAGTACATGAGAATAAAGCGGTGGGTTAAAAAAAGAGAATCCAGGAAAAAAAAAAAAAAAAGAAAAGCAAGACCTGAACAGCCATAATGAGCGCTGGCAAAGGGAGTGAAAATCATAGCACAGTTGCAAGAAACCTGTGCTTCTCTTGCCTGTGTGTCTGGATTGGTAAGGAATAACTATGTTCTTTGGTATTTGTTAAAGTCATTGAAAAATGAAGAGGCTTAACATACTTGCAGGGATAGCTGTCAGGAATCCAGCCATGTCTGTGAGGGAACTGTGTGTTCCAGTGTTGGCAGGTGTTTCCCGATTCAGTGATGGCTAGCCTGCCTCGATAGTCTTCTCCATGCCCTGAAAGACACTGGGAGCTGGGTCCAGAAACAGGTGGGCGTGTGGCTGTAATAGGGGGTTAAAAACAAAAGAAAAGAAAAGAAAAGAAAAGAAAAGAAAAGAAAAGAAAAGAAAAGAAAAGAAAAGAAAAGAAAAGAAAAGAAAAGAAAAGAAAAGAAAAGAAAAGAAAAGAAGCTAATCAGTGCTTTTAAATATATAAAAAACATCTTTTTTTTAATGTAGAACATGAACATTTTTCTTTCTCCAGAGGTGACATTGGTGAAAGCTATGGCAAAGTCAGAGTGTACACAAGCAGTCAGGCTGCTGGACAGATGTCCTGTGTCTGCCCTTCTACAGCCATCAGTAAACAACACTGCTGGATCAAGCCTGACATTGTACCTGCAGTCCCATGAGAACAGAGCTGCAAAGGGAGTAAATAGTCCTTTACATTATTGTAAAAACAAGTGAGAGGAAGGGAGCACATTAAGATGACATAAACAGGTAGGATGGAAGGGTAGAAAGAATAAGACCAGGCCCAAGAAGAAGTTGTGAGAGAAAGCACAGCAGTCTTTGGCACTAAGGTTCTGGGAACAGTGAATTGGGACAGTGGGGCAGGAGGAAGAATGAAAGAAAGCCAGTTGATCTGGCAGCATATTGGGAACATCAAAGAAAGTCACAGTGGTGATCAGAACCACAGAATCTGCAGAGAACAAAGGGAAAATGAACATCCTTTACATACATATGACATATACACCATGTATGTAGTTTCTTGAGGAAATAATACAAATCTGAAAGTGTAGCACAAAATGGATATACTGTGATCTCTTGCACAATTTACCTTATCACACAGAAATCTATTAACAGTCATTCTTCCATCTATAAATGAGTATGCTGATGTAAGCTACAACTAGCAAACACATGCTGCTGCTCAGAGCACTGGCCAGAGCAAATGCTACCACCAAGTGAAAATTCACAGTGTGGTGATGGAGTTTATGTTTCCCACAAGTTAATAGGTTAGGAGAAAACTGTAGCCTAATGAATGCCATGCCTTTACTGTTAATTAAAAAATAAGGCTGTTGAAGGCAAATGAGGGCTTCCATAACATCTGTAGCAATGTTGTACTTTGTGGCATCTTTGCCCTCACTGAACTTACATGATTTAATGTAACAGAAAATTAGTGAATAATTCTGCTTACTGATGTCCACCTTCCCTGGTTCACAAGGATTTCCTCAGGATATTCAGAGCTGTGATTTCTTATCTTTCCCCTCCCTGCATCATTTTGATGAGAAGGGATACCCTATGGAGTGATGTCTAGAAGTCAGACTCACTGCAGCGAGGAATGTCACAATATTCCCAGCGCTTAGTGGGGCTGGTAGTGAAACACCAAGGCTGAAGTTCGCCATCAGGGTTACGGCAATAATTCATCTTCAGAATTCATCTTCATCTTTCCTTCTCTGGAAAACTGAACATGAGAATGTAAGTTAAGCTTGTGAGTCAGCTATGGTTGGCTGTAGCAATCAGGCTGTCTGCAGGCAGGGTCTCCCAGGCACTGTGGGAATGAGTGGGACAATTCAGCACTGCCTGTGACTCACTTTTCCAAGGTATATCCATGCATATGAGGCTCTTGAGCATCCCAGTGCTGGCACTCAATCCCAGACTCTGTTCTGGAAACTTTTCCATGGTAGTCTTCACCATTACACTGCATGCACTCCACTGTAGGGCCAGAATGAAGACAAAGCAAGGTTACGACCAGCCCTTGAAATTTTATTCTGATTCATCAATAACAGAGAACATTGGAAGGTAAGTATAACAATGAAAGAAATGCAGAAGTTCATGTGTAACAGCTTAGCTAGATAAATGAAGCTTTAGGAATACATGTTATTTGGAGGGAGGACTTTGTCACATATCTGTATGTACTGATGGCAACGGGGATTCTGAATTTAAGAGAGCATTGGGTCAATCTTTACTCTTGCTAGAACTAAAACATTTATTAGGGTTTAGAACAGGACAATATCAGCAAGAGATTAAAAATCTTCACTTCCTCTGTATTTTCAAAATCACTTTGATAACTAGAGTGAGTCAGGAAAACAACCTTTGTGCTGAGAACTTCTTAAATTCCAACTTGATCTAAATTCGCATTTCAAACCAATCTGCAGTAATAAAAGAAGAAGAAACAGCATGAATAATATCACTTCCTTGAATACACCTTCCCTTAAAAATAAATATACCTTCTCCGCTGTGCGCGTCCTGACCTTCACACTCCGGGATGTTACAGTAATCAAATCTGGTAGCAGGATCTGTTGTGTAACACCAGGGTCCATTTTCATCTCCATCAGGATTTCTGCAGTAGTTTTCCTCCAGCCCTGCACTGGGGTGTTTTTCAGGCGTAAAACTGTAATAGAATTAAAATGGCAGGAGGGTGGGAAGGAAATTTCCAACTTGCTCAGCTAACATTGGCTTCTAGTCATTCCCACTAAAAATGAGAGAAACAGATTCCCCTTTCTAACCCATGAATGAAATCTGAATACCATTCTGTAACTACCTTTATTAGTAGACTCTTCCTAGACCCCAATTACCAATGATGAGCAAACTCAGTGTGTAAGAATTACGGCAGTCTCAAAGGACAACTATTAGCTTTAATACTTGCATCCAGCTGATTGAGTTTTAGCTCCTTGCAGCCTGTGGCTCTGCGACATAATTTTATTAAGGCTTCATCTACTTTAAAGATGGAATATTTCAAGATGCTATTGACCAAATACAACTGCATCCCAACTTGCAGAGGCTTTTAATCAAGTGACCCTATACTTCTTCCTACAGTAATCCTTTCAGAGTCTCCCAAAAAGCTTTTACACTAAAAAAAACAAAACAAATGCATCCAAGTTTCATTAGAATAACAACAACAAAAAATAATTTTTCAAACAGCTAAGCTCCATAAAGAGCAGAGAAAAGAGAAATAGAAAGGGGTCATTGTCCAGTTTTCCCTTTTACTCCAGTGTCCTCACAGGCTCTCTGCTTCTACACTTGTTTCAGTCAGCTCAGGGGCAGCCAGCCATGAGAATCCCCATGCCCAGGTCCCTCTGGGCCTTAAATGCTTTGCTGGACGTTTCTTCTTGACTGTCTTGGGAAGGTAGGCGAGGGGTTATAGGGCTGGATGGGTACCATCGCTCTTTCACTTGCTCTATTTTACATCTCATATAGAAGAGAGGAATTCTGGCTCCACTGTCACTAATGGCAAAATTTTCATCATGTTTTAGTGAAATCAGCATTTCACATTCGTAAGAGGCCCAGCATTAGGCACAGCTTCTCTAGTTGAAGATATACCCTTTTCTTATCCAGTTCATCGCAGTTCTCTGCCAGCAGAGTCAAAAGTAACAACAGGAGAGAGGAAGTGAAAATTATGTCTTTTGAAGTCACCTGAGCACCAAACAACTGTCTTTGATAATGTGCACTATAACTTTGTTTGTATGCACTAAATGGGGGCAGCTTGGAAAAGATTCAGAACAACGTAGAGGCAACTATAAATAAAGCCATACTTTGGTTTGTGGGGTGCTTTTTCATCCCACTTCTGGCATGGAATACCCCTCCGAGTTTTGGCTTCCATTCCTCTGTAGTCCTTCCCATTTCCTTTTCGACATTGTAGGAGGTAAACTGAAATGGAATCGGCTTTGTTGGTTCAAGTGTTACAACATTGTATTTCTTGGAACTGAGCGTTTACAGATTCAACCATAAAGCTCATCAGTTTAGACAAATTCACCCATGTTTTGACTCTCTTGTACATGCAAATATAGAGATGTGATTCTATAAAGTATTTAAAACCAAATTAGTTAGCAACTACTACAAAACTCCAGAGTAAAGTTTTTGAAGTATTTTTATAAACCTAGTAAAATCAAGTTAAGGAAATAGATATAGTAAGTTATAGTTTTTCTTGATGTGTATGACATGTATGTTTATATTAGCATATTACCGGGATAAAAAGGAAGGTCCTTCACCAACAGCTGGAGATGCTTTGAAACGTGTTGTTCATAAGCACATCTGTAGTGTGGGTATTATGCAACTATCTGTTCAAGCCAAAGACTTTTTAATTATCAGAATACGTGTCACATAAATGAACACTACACCTTCAATTCCTCTTAGTCTCAGATTCCCAGGTACTTTCTAATAGGATTCCAAGGAGAGGGACCACAAAGCACATTGATCTCAACCTTGTTATTAGTAACACAGATAGAGAGATAGCAAAAGCTCCAATAAGTGGGAGGTGACTGTCATTTCCCCTTCTAGTAATTTGTATGCCCAAGAAGGCTCTCCTTAAACTCCAAAAGGTCAAATGGAGATGTTAGAGCAGATGTTAGAACTACAAGTTCAAGGAAATTCATGAGAAAATCTAGTTGTCATTAGCACAGGAAGAAGACACCAAGGAACACATATTGCACCATTAAATAAATTTTCATTGGTTGATAATCAGCTAAAGGCTAAGCTAGTAACTGCTGAAGATATTCATGATAAGCTGAGTTCCACATGGTGCCAGGAACCTGGCAACCCATAATCCAGAATCCTGTTAGCAGAAGAAGTAGCTGGTTTTAAGAAGTTGGTTAAATGTTAACATTCTAACTTTTTGTCATGTTTGGGCCAGATCTCCAGCAGAAATTAATGAGTTCTTCAGAATTATATACATTTGTACTGGTTGGGAATCTGGACACAATCTGCTTTCTCTTTAAAATCGTGACATAGTAAAAGGGATGTGCACCGTGATTATTCATGAAGCTTAAGACTTCTGTATATTTTTCAAGCTCTTTAGAACTGTAAAGACCCTGAAAATCACTGTCTTCTGAAATGGGTTGAAATGTTCCTACAAGAAATCTTCACTATTTATCTTACTTACTCTTATTTATCTAAACAGTTAGTAGTAGGAGCCGTCTTCCTCCTAGAAGATCCATTGAAGTTAGTGTTTGAGATTGTATTATCTATGTTCCTATGAAACTTATGGAGATGGTCTCATTAAAAAAAAAAAGTGTTTTTCCTGCTACATAGCATCTACTCAGAAGTTAGAAAAACATTAATTAATTCCAAAAAAAATCTTAAAACTAAAGCACTTGTCTGAGCCTGGCATACAACAAGAATTGAGCTTAAACAAGACAACTTATAAAACATTGATATCTCATTATTTTTTCTAATAATGGACTATAAGTACATAAAATATTTCAGTCAAATAATTCTTGATTGAATTATTACAAAATTAGGGAAGTAGCTACATAAAAGTGTGTAATCCTATAGTGTTGAAATTCCATATGACCAAGGATTCCAGTAGCTCTCTGAAGCAGAGGACTGCAAATACTTAAGAAGAGAAATGCATGATTTTTGCTTTGAAGTATGTTTATTCTGCCTGATCCCATTAGCACATGACTAAAGGAGTCTGGACTGAATGCAGCCCAAGTCAAGCATAGGAGCTCTTAACGCCATATGTGAAATTTTCTGGTGGTTTCAGGCCCGTTCCTAATGAGTGAAGGCCCACCTCACTGAAACTGTGACCATCATCTGTATTGTTTTTCTCCAGCACTGCAGCAGAGGACTCAAGGATGTAATTTAAATAGGCTTAACACATGTAACTGTGTAACAATATACTATACGCATACTTTTCTTTTCATAAAGAGTTGCATCTGGGCTGCTGAACATCACTGTTGTTTTGGTATTTTCAGCCAATGTTAAACACTGCTGCTTTTTCCTGGTGAATAGGAAGGCCCTGTTGAAATTGAGAAGAACACATAAGCAATGTTATTAAATCCATTCATATCATTCAACTTGCAATTAATTTTCTATAGATCATTATTTTTCTAGCACTTCTTGTATCCACTTAGATCTTTCAAATATTGCGCTTTACACATACTCAGTAACATTTTCTATTGATCTGAAGTGACTGACTTTGTTAGAAGCTATGACCACATGACCAAGTTACTGAGTGGGAAGCTAGGTACTGCATTTGCAAAACATTATCAACAGCGGTCTAGCTTCTTGGGTTAGTGCCTTTCCCCACAACAAATTAAAAATATCTTACACTTCTTTCAAGAAACACAGCAGCATTCAGCTAAAGAGGTGTAATCAGCTTTCCTTGTAACATAAGATGAGAGCAGAAACTTGGACATTTACTATAGAGTGATTAATACATTTGTAAATCCATCCTCTACCTGACCTAGTGATAATTTACAGGTGAAAGTAAGCCATAAGTGAAAGCACAGGCAAAGCTGCTGCAGGCAGGGCTGCAGCAGCCCTTCACTGAATCACTGATGGGTGCAGATCGTGCCTCAAGCCCTTCAGGCAGCCTCAGTTGCCTAAACTGCCACCTACTCTCTCTCTCTCCTCTGGAGAAGAAGGGGCTTTCTCAGGAGACACTTCCCATGAGCTGGCACCTGGGTGACAGCACTCCACTTCCCAACAAGTGCTGAAATTGAAAATAGTTTACTTGACTGCTTCTTTCATATCTTCTGTTTTTAACTACATATTCCAGCTATTCACCTTCTCTGTGTTTTTTGCTTTCCTTCCAAAACTGAGGGTGCACTTACTTCTGAGCAACAGCAGGAAAATGTTATCGATCAGATATTTAGTCATTCACAACGACATAGTTCTGGGATTCAACAGAAATTACCTGCAATTAAAATTTCCTTCATCTTCACATTTCTTTGCACATTCTTTTTCACTGTTTGTTCTATAAAACTGTTTATTCCGAGTAAGTATCCAAACACCATCTGTTCTTAAATAGTCATCTAGTATATCTCCTTTCACTACAAGGGAAGAAAATGGAGCAGACATTAAAAATGAGAATGCTGCAATTAAGATGATCTGTGACTTTAAATCCCATTTTCCATGTAGCATTGATAGGTGAAGTCACCATTTATTTTGTGTACTTCTAGGTAAATGGTGATAAACTGTGTGGAAATTTCAGTCTCCTGACACAATCACAGCTACATCACTAGAACACATGACAGCAAGAAACAGTGAAAGAGAGGTGTAGAGAAGTAGCTCTGAACGGAGTTATGCATATGTTTGAAGTCGAGAAAAAGAAATATGAAATGAGTAAGCGGGAGTGGAGAGAGGGACTTAGTGTCAAACAAATGGCAGACAAAGAAGCATGGGAAGTGATATCAACACTGAAGTTTTGGAGAAGCATGAGCTGGGAGGATGTGAGATTATGACCTCCCATATGGAACGTACAGTCTCTGCAGTTTTACTGGTCACTGGATGGTTTGGTTGTCTTCAGATGTCCTGCACTGGAGCAAGAAACCTCAATCATAAGATGACTATGTCATCTTTTACAATGACAACTGTTATTTTTGCTGCAATGGCTTGAGCAGACTTAATAATAAATCTGTCAGGTTGTACCACAGTTGCAAAAAAATAACCCAAGATTATAAACTAGTAAATCAATTAGTAAGCACATCTCTGAAAGCTAGATGCACATAATATGTATCTGATGAATATGCTAATACATTTAATATTTGTGTGAAACAATTAGCTCCACAATATTCTCATTCATAAAGGAGTTTGCCACCTGATCGATTTTTTCCTCTTATGTCTGTAAAGATTCTACATTTCTGCTCCTAATTTATACAACAGTTTATTTCTCTATCTAGCATCAGGTTACAGGTTAGAGTTACAGCGGTGATATGGTTTGATCATTTCTTTTTTCAGGCTACATTATTATTGATAGACACAGGAATTGCTGTTTTCTTTTTCTCTACAGAGCCTCAACCCCAGTCTCAGAGTCAACAATGGGCTTTGCATCATATAAATCCATTTGCACCTTGTGCCGATCCATGGTACAGCAAAAATGAATTTCATTCTTACAGGTAACATTGTGAATCTTTCCCTTATGCAAACAACCATATTAGGTTCAACTCATTGCAACATCACTCCAGTGATGCCCATGAAATGGGAGCATCCATGCAGTTGCCTGCCTCCGGTCAACACATAAAATAAAAGGCATGTGGGCCACTAAAGAAAGGAAGATGCTTAGCAGCCTGAGGGCAACATTCTGTGGTTGTTACCAGAGACTGCTCAATGCAGTAAGAATATATGTCTAAAGAAATCCGTGACACGAAGACTTCCTTCATCTAATCCTGCCCACACAGTGTGGACATACGGAGTACCAACAGCCTACCAGCTTCTCCTGATTCACTGAGCAGACAAGTGTTCCCTCTCTCCTGGCCTTATTCGCAAGTTAACTGGGGCGATTGCTACAGAACTACAGGGGGCCAGACTACAAAAATATTGCTTTCTAAGCTTTTCTTGGCTCCTCTTAAATGCTGCATGTCAGCCCAAAGACTTCCAGTTTGGATAGTGTTCCATTTCAGTGACCATAAGGAATATTTATTTCTGTTGGTTTATGAAATCAAGGGACTCTGGATGACATGCATAAGCTAACAGGCATCACAGACTGGCAGAAGCTTAGATAACAGAAAAGAAAATGTGATGTAAATTGTCTGAAAAGGACTACAAAAATGTAAATAAAAAAAAGAATAAAATGAATTTCAGAATGGAACAGAGAATGTATAATTCTAGCTAAAGTTTATATAGAGGTATACTTTTATATATTTATATAGATATCATGAAATAATATTTTATATATATTTATAAAATTAAACAAAGTATTCAAACACATGCTGCAAAACAATTTGTTCTTTTACATATGCATCCCTTTGGAACTGACCAGTACTAAACAAAAAGACATAAAAGACTGTTTTAATGCAGTTTTGTGGTCCCTTACATTGGAGCAAGTGAGTTAGAACTGACATCAACGAACAAATATAAATAACTATACAAACTGCCTGTTATAACCCAACAAAAATCACACAATGATACATTCCTGTTATTCTATGTTATATTACATCTCTGAGCTATTATAAAATCATACAGATTGTGTTCACATGTTTGTAACAGTATTTTTAAAAGGCATTTAAGCACTGTGTAATCACATGCAGAGTACCAGCACAATGTCATGTCTGATTGAAATCTAATGTATATCACCTGTAGAATATTTATTTATAGAGTTTGTAGATGTGCTTGAAATCAATATATTATCTTCAGAAGGCCTCCTATCTTCTTTGCGAATTGTAAAAAGCATTCTCAGCTTACCCGTGGAAAAACTACCTAGGTTACTGAAGACTGAATTTTCACCTACTGCCCCCAAGAAAAGAAGAGAAAAGTGTTTGGCAATAGAAAATGTGAAACTGCTGGAATATAAAGGAACTTTTCATTTTCTTTTTGATTTAGATTTAAATGTTGCATCTAAAAATTTGTAAACCTCTACCATAGTGGATCAAAATCAGGATTACAGCGCTTGGCAATGCTTGGCAGTAAAAACAGCTCCAGGATATGATCCAAAGCCTGCCGGAATTAGAGGCAGCCATCTCAGGGACTGCGGTGGGCTTTGCAGCCGGCTTTTTGGCCTACTTTCCAAAGGCGCCTCCCGTCCTGGCCATTCGGCACGGTTGGAGGAAGCCATTTGTTCTCCACGCGGACGCTGGCGACTCGGCCGTTGCTCTTCCGCTGCCTCTAACAAACACGACACCGCTGAGCCCTGTCCTCTCAGGGGGACGCAGCAACCACAGCTCTCGGTTTGCTCGCCAGCAACCCTCGCTGGCCAGCCACCCTGACGTCCAGAGTCGTCCGGGTACGTGGCGGCACGTGGATTTTGGGACCTACCTTCACAAAGCGGAGCTTGCCAGTGTTTGGTCCCCATCTCACCTGCTCAAGCAGAAGGCAAAGGACTCTTACCTGAGCTGAGCAAGAAAAGAAAGAGAAAGACGGCTTTGCTAATCCCCATTTTGGCCCAGCTGGCGGGTGCTGGAAGTTGTGTGTGTCAGTGCACAAAGTTTTATTGACTCGCACTGGAGTGAGGCGGCATCAAACAAACAAGGCAGGCAGATTAAGTTAATCATTCTCCCACTCCGTGACCCCCTTTGCCGTAGTCAACAACCTTGAATCGGATATATTACCAAGTAAGACTCAACCATTTGTACGGGATGCTGGGAAACGTGAAGGCGCTCTCTCGTTTTGCTGGGCGTGCTTTCGTTCTCACGTCGCGGAGGTAAACGTGGGGATAATATGGGTGGAAAGCGTGGGAAATTTCTCCAGGAAGAATTTAACTCTGTGCAGTCCTGTCTATTCAGCTTAGGTCCCAAAGTCATTTTCAGGCACACGTTTGCCCTTTCCAGGTGGAAACTTCTAGTTTACGCCATTGTATGAGCCAGGCACAAAAACCAGACCCAGCTAACTCTGTCTCAGTTTCTTTTGACAATCTCCAGTTTCCTCCCTGGGAAAAAGAAGCTGCCTTCTCTCCGCAGTCTCCTGTTTCTGCGCTGGATTTTGCTGTTCAGGACTGCTCACAACCGGAGCTGCCAGGAGGGACAGCCGCATCGCCCTGGACATTGCTGACCGGGGCCGGGCAGCCGGGGCCAAGGCCGCCGCCAAAATGGCTGACAGGGGCCTGGCGGGCCC